TGTCAGGACAGTGCTTCTCTTTTGGCACTCAGCAATGACTTCTGCAGAACACCTGGTGGACTTGAGCATAGACAGGTGTCGTGGTTTAAACCCAGTCAGGTAACTTGTTCACTCACTCCCAGTGAGTGGTGCCAAGCTGACAACAATCGAGGTCCGTGTCCCCCCCCCCCCCCCAACGGGGTTCTCCCCCACTCCCGGAGGAACGGGGAGGAGGATCGAAAGAGTGCAACTCCCACGGGTTGAGACAAGAACAGTCCAGCAACCAATGTACACAAATCACCACCGCAACTATCAACTACAACAATGATAAGGGAAAATAACAAGGGAAGAGAATACGATACCACCGGCCAAGAAAACGAGTTCCACCTGGAAGCCCCGTGTCCTTCCGGGTAACTCCCAGTCACCCCCCCACCCTGGCCATGACGTGCTGTGGTATGGAATACCTCCCTGGCTAGCCCGAGTCAGGCGCCCCATCTCTGCTTCCTCCCGGCTTCCCCTCCTCCCTGGCAGAGCATGAGCCTCACAAAGTCCTTGGTCAGGGTAAACATCACTTAGCAACAACTGAAAACATTGACTTCACCAACACTGTTCTCAGGCTGGAAGTCAAAACACAGCACTGCACCAGCTAGCACAAAGGAAAAAAAAAAACAAACATGACTGCTACTTCTGAACCCAGGACAACAGGCAAGAGACCAAATGCTGAAAAGTTTTTTTTCTTAAGACTGGAGTCCCATCTGGTATTTGCAAACAATTGTGTTTCTGGGCCTTCCTGGTTTTATGGGCATACAACTGAACAGGTGAGTGTTCTGAATAATACAGATCACAACTGAAGTAGTTCTGAGGAAGGGAACAAAAAGATAGACACAGAAGTATATCTGCCTTAAACTGCATGGTGAGTATATCCCAGTTTTCCAGGCTATGGTGTCTTTCAGGAAGTGATGATTCTCTTTAAAAAGCTTATTATGAAATGGTGGTGAATAATAAAAACAGAGCAAGATACAAAGAAAGGCAAATGAAAAGGCAGAGCTCAGGAGTAGGGCATGGGACTGGCAGGTGGATCTGAACTGTACTTCTGCCACTGACCTCTCTTCTGGAGGAACCATCTTTACCTCTGCCTACTTCCCCACCAGCCTCTGTTTTTTGTCTAATTAAACTGATATTTCTGCAGAGCAGAACAAGTCTCTCTTTCCTCCTTTAAATTTAACCCATATCTAGAGGCCTTGACTCAAAAGAACTTCTATTTGGTAGTAATATCAGTGACATGCTACTCAGTTTTTATTTCCAAAGCCTGTTTTTCTCTTTTTAGCACAGAAATTAAGTATTTTATAGAAAATCTCACAAATTCTCAGATTATTCAAAACCAATAGCACACCCATTAGCACCTTGTGAGTAGCTAGAGGTACACTTCCACTGATGTACTATTTATTATGGATTATTTGCTCAGGGATTATTATATGAATGAATATCTCCCAATTTCACACTGAATTTATGATTGGATTTGCACACAAAAATTAGGTTCTGGGGAGAAAACAGTAATACTCAAACGCCATATTGAAATACTGCCAATCATGGCAGTATTTCAAGCATGGCAGCATGCCTGAGGTGTCTACTGGGCCACATGGAGACAGAAGAGAAAGTGGAAAAAACACAAAGCCAGGAATGCAATTCATCCGACTTGTGTTGGTGTAATTTATAAGAGATATGCGGAGGGGTGTTAGTTTCCATGTGTTCAGCCTTGGGTCATATACCAGCCATTTACAGCAGGTTGGATGTGTGTTTTGGCAAGCTGTGCAAGAAGCGTGTTTCAGTTTCATTTCCCTAGACAGGGCTTTTGGTTGTCCTGTTCTGGCAGGCAGTGTGAGGTTTCATGCCTTGATCTTCTTGTTCTCTGTCAAATTTACTTCAGAGAGAACACCTGCAGCCTGAGAACATAGATTCAGTGGGAGCTGCAAATGCAGAGCACCTCTGAGGGCTTGGACCCCTGTCCTTGACAGGGGTTGCTAGGAGCGGCACTGCCTGATGTGCTGGGCTTTTGAAATACTTCAGTGGATTTCAACACTTCAGAATGGTGGATTTACAGCAGAGGCTTTGATCTTTTCAGGTACCTCTTGGGTTGACCACTATAGACCAGCCTTGCTCTAATTTGCCAGGAAATTCACTTAAGAACACCAGACTCTTTACATATCTTCCTTCCATTGATGCAGCTCTCGGAGGTGACAATTAGAGTAGATTTAAAGCAGTGGTTTGAGGAGGTGGCTAGTTTGCACAAACTTTCACCAAAATAGTCACACTGGTTGCAGTTCTTGCTGAGGGAAGTGTTGGCGCAAGTGAGTGTATAGTCCTACTATTGACACTATTACTGTTTGTACCACAACAGGGCCTCAGATAAAACAAGAACAGGTCTCCCTTGTACCAGGCACCCTAGGAACTCTTAGAAACAGTAAACAGCTTACATCTAAACAAAGCTGTCTTTTTAAAATTTGTCTTGTAAGTCATCTCTTTTTATTATTCTTATTACAGATACACACATAGTTACAGGCTTTAATAGATCTGGTTTTATTTCATTGTAAATGTGTGTGTCATTCAGTCCTAAGCAGTACACGGTATCCAAAGCTCTGTGGGAACTGCCTGTGCTGCTTAGTGCATAATACCCAGTGGGTTTGTTTAAGTTCAGGAGGTAAGTAACTACCATAACTATGAGATAGTGACAGTTTGAACCTCTGTAAATGAGTTGGTTTTTTTTTTTTTTTGTCTTTCTGATGGTTGTATTATTCATGTCATTAAATGAGTGTCTTTCTTCTAACCTTTGCCAAATTGTGTAGTTCTGCATCATTCATGGAGTGCTCCAGTGTCATGATTTAAACAAAGTCAACCATGAATCACGCAGTCGCTCTCTCACTCCCCCCCTTTTTGCCCTCCCCCTGCTCCCAGAGGGATGGGGAGGAGAATCAAAAGAATGCAACTCCCATGGGTTGAGATAAGAACAGTTTAATAACTAAGGTATAACACAAATCACTACTGTTACCACCAATAATAATAATGATAAAGGAAATAACAAGGGAAGAGAATACAACACCTCACTACCCCCCGACTGATAACTCGCCCCTCCCCCAGCCTGACCGAGCACCGACCGATACCTAGTCCAACCCCGCAGTGTACTAGCCCTTCTGGGTAACTCTCAATTACATCCCGGGCATGACGTGCTGTGGTATGGAATACCTCTTTGGCTAGTTTGAGTCAGGTGTCCTGTCTCTGCTTCCTCCTGGCTTCCCCTCTTCCCTAGCAGAGCATGAGGCTCAGAAAGTCCTTGGCCAGACCAAACATTTGAGCAGTAACTAAAAACATCGGTGCTATCAGCACCGTTCCCAGGCCGAAAGTAAAAAACACAGCACTGCACCAGCTATCAATTTTGAGAAAAAATGACTGCTACTGCTGAACCCAGGACATCCAGAAACATCCTAGCTTTTTATAAACAATTTTGATGCTAACATGCAACAAAAGTATCCCTCAAATTTGCTAGTAATTGATAGGTTACAAAACCTTCCCTCCTGAAAGTGCTTAAACAGCAATTCTCCTGTCAAATGCAAGCCTGTTTCAACACAACAGTTTTATAACACATGATGGACATGCTTGTAGTAATTGTAGTCCAGCCAGTCATGCATTGCCTTAGACAACAGCCACTACAAAAGGTTGTATGGCAAAGGATCCCAAACTCTTCCAGGGATCATCCCTTTCCCAACTTCCCTCAATTAGAGATGAGCTTAAACTGTTAAGCATGAAGGTTTTTCCAAGTATTTTTCTAGCATCAAGTAAAACAGCCTTGTAAATTCCTTCTGCATTCTGGACCTTGGGAATACTCATGATTGGGTATTGATACTATGATGAGTTCCACAGTTTAATAGCAAGTGCACGTGTTACATAAAGTGTAATTTATTTTTTTGTTGGCCCTAACCTGGTTGTTCAAATGAGGAAATTGGCAAGGAAATCCAAGTTCTACTGCTACTTTTTAAATAGTTGAGAAAATATAGTTGAGGCAATTATAAATGGTGCCATTTCTCTTGACATGGCATCCATATTGCACACAGCTGAGCTGTTAAACAGAGGTCTTACAAGGGAATTAATTTTTTTTTTTTTTTTTTTTGTTCTGCTTCATGGATGGTCAGCATGGCACTAGCGAGGTGCCGCTCTCCTGGGCTTGTGCTCTGACCCCCTGCCATTCCCAGGCTGGTGCTTCAGGGGAGAACAGCAGTTACTAGTCCCCCCGTGAAACCCGAGGTTCACCAGTGAGGGAGCCACTGGTGAAGCGACAGCCACCAGGTATAGGGTTTTCCTCTCCCTTTTCTGCGGCGGCTGCGCAAAACCTAAATGCCGGAATGAATACGCCCGAAACTCAACCTGTAGCGCACCGTCACCTCACACTTCCCTCCTCCCCATGGTAGAGTCGGCCACTCCTAGGGCTCTCGTCAGCGCAGGAGTTGAACCAAAGCGAGATTTACCTCACTACCCCCCTGCCCCTTTTCCCTCACGTCCTCCCCGAGCTGGGAATTCCCCTCATGGCGAAGGGCCCTATGGCGGCGGGACTGCACCACGCAGGTGTGCGGAGAACCAGCGCACCTCCCACCCGCCCTGCTCCAGCCACATCCCCAAAAGGGGAGGGGACGGAAGGCCTTCTGACGGGAAGAAGCCAAAAGAGGGAGGAAGAGGAGTGGCATAATCACCGCGCGTGTCGCTTCCCGCTCACCTCGCGCGGCCGCTGCCATCAATTGCTATTGACGTCAGGGAAGGCGGCACATGATCCCGCTGTAGCCAATCGGGTGCGCCCAGCGCCGCTCCATCGAGAGGCTGTCGGCAGTGCTTGTTAGTCTCACCATGTTGTTGTTGTGGTAGTATGTGGATATTGTTTCTGCTGCCTGCTTTCTACATCTGCTCTGTGGGGAAGGAAAAGGGACACGCGGCTGGATGCTCCGCTGTCAGTCGTCGCTGTCGGTTTTGTCAGCAGTCTTCGCCAGGAGCCGACCCTCCGCTCGGCCGGCGTCCGCCCGCGAGCATAGGCAAGACGCTCTGAGAGCGCGGGGGGCCTGCCGAGGATGGATCTGAAAGTTTGAATAAGAATTTTTATCGCTTCCCTTTTCCCCTGTTCCCGCTCCAGTGCGGTTCAGTCCCTTCCCCCATCTTCCCTTGGCAGGTTTATTTTTTTCCCTTCATAATTTTTTTTTTTTAATCCGCTGGGTGAGGTTGGATTTTTTTATTATTTTATTTTATTTTACTTGGTTATACTAAATTCTACCGCCCGTAGGGACTGGTGTTCTCGGGCGGCCGCTGCTAAGCGCCACCCCGACCCGTGGGGCTGCCATGGATCGCACCGGCGGCTCTGGTGGAGGCAGCGACTGCAGGCAGACTGAGGAGAGCAAGCCGATGCTGGGGGAGATGTCTGCTCCCGAAGTGAATAAAATAGGTGCCGCGCCGTGCCGGAGAGCCCTGCTCCACCGCAACGGCATGAGGTACAAGCTGCTGCAGGAGGGGGACATCCAGGTGTGTGTCATCCGGCACCCCCGGACGTTTCTCAGCAAGATCCTCACTTCGAAGTTCCTGCGGCGGTGGGAGCCGCACCACTTGACTCTGGCGGACAGCAGTGTTACCTCGGCCACGGTAAGAGCCCGGCGGGGGGCGGCCACAGCGCGACCCCGGCGGCTTCCTCGCCCCGCGGGGCATGTGGGGGGAAGGAGACGCCCGCGCCGGTGTGTGCGGAGGGTCCGCGTCAGGTCCCTCCGAGGGCTCTATCTGTGCGTGTGTGGCTTCCGGAATGCCTGCGGGAGTTTTGTTCCTTCTTAGTAATGCTGCGGGTATTTAATTTTGCAGTTTCGGTTGGGTTTTTCGAGCAAATATATTATTATTATCCTTCTTCTTTTTACTACTACTGTTATTAGTATTATTTGGGCTTTTGCTCCATCCCTCCTTTTTTAATTTTAATTCCTTCCTTCTCCACATGATACTGACACGAAATTGCCACACTTGAGCCATTTCAGTCAAAAAACAAAGCTGGCAGATCCCTGCTGGCACATTGGCCAGGTTGGAAGTGAGGGATGCTTTTAATTTGAGAACGAAGACTTGGGGTTTACACGGTATGGATGTTTTAGGGGCTCTGATTTTGACAGTCATATCATACCCTGCTCAGGCACTGGCAATGTGATTGTAAAACATCGAGATTCCTTCAGGGTTTTCTTCCTAATGGAAAATGATGCTAGAGAAGAGTGCAAGGTGGTGATATCAGTGGTACAAAAGCTGTACAATAGATAAATATAATCTTTAACACATACGACTTAAAATTTCATGGCTGGTGTTATTTGAACATTTGTATAGTATGTGATATAACTATACCTGTATTTTGTCTAGCAGTGATTAACACAGGTTACAAAACATGCTTTGATTTTTAATCACTCAGCACTTCAGTCCTGTCATTTTTTGATTTATATGTGAATGTTTCATTTTTCTCAATTACTTCATTCTGGCCTTCCTATAGGACACTGGTGACATGAGAGAGCGGATTGGCTTTTGTGTAGGTTTCTGTTAATGGTGTATTGAAATGGGTTTCATCCAGCCGGGGCTGTGCGCAGAGGGTGGATTTTTTTCACACTTAGATACACAGAGGCATAGTGTGTGTAAATGTCTCCCCTGCATCATGCTCTGCTGTGGAGTATTCAAAGCAGGTTTTCGGTGGGAACTACTTTAACCTTTAGGTAGGCCATCTGCCTGTTCTCACAGAGCTCTTTTTTGTGCCACAATGACATCCCTGCTTACCATTTCCACTAGGCTGTCAAGGATGTTTCTAAGGGAATATTCTTCTTTCTTTGATGTGACTGCTGTGTAAAGGGAGAAGGAAAACTCAGTTGAGTATTGAGAAAACCCCTGAAAGACATGAGCACAATGAGTTTTTGTAGTTCATTTTATTAAGATACCATCAGCATAGTGGAGATGAGGCATTTTCCAGGCAGTATCCATAGTCGATTATTTTTTAGCAGAGGAGAAAGATACTGGTAGAGAGAGGCATGATCATGCTTCAGATGTTAATCTCTGCAATGTGGCAGTACTAGGCATGAAGTTGTATTTGTACAGGATACATCAAACTCTGCTTGCTGGCAAAGCTGTTGACAAACCATCTCTGAAAAAAATGTATGAAGTCCTATGGGGCTATGATTTAATTAACATTGAGGTGTTCTTGTTCCTAAATATTTTATGTATATAAATAGCAAGAAGATACTAAAGCATTGTATGTACCATTGCAGGCTCCATTTTGTTTGGCAGTGCTCTTTGTGCTTGGTCTTGTACCTTATATTTTTTTTTTCAGTACTAACTCACCAAGTAAATACTGTTGGTTGCAGAAATATTTGTACTTTATTTCAAATAGTGTCTTTGGTTTCCACTGGGTAATTAGGGCACTAGGATAAGATCGGTGTTCACTTGTTGCCTGAATGTGTGGGTATGTTTAGCAGGTATCTTTCAGATGTTGGTTCTATGATATCTAGATTTTACTATGGCAGTTTAACCCCGGGTAGATATTTAAACACAACTAATTTGGTTTTCAAGAGCTGTGGAAAAATATCCATTCTGTCCATTGAAAGTGAGGATTGGGAGTGCTCAACAACTTTGATAACAGGGTTATTTTTACACATAGGGCTTTCCACTGGCAGGTTGCTTCATGAGAAGCCGGTAATTAATCTTCACATCATCCCTTTGCAAATCCTCTGGCATAATGAGTTTTACTGTATTCTATGTAATGTGAATAAAATTGAACAGGAAAATAACATCACTTTGCTTTGCATTTGAAAGCAGAAGTTGTAATGACAGCTAAATCCAGATATGGCAATTTATGTCCCCGACTACAGTGGATAAGTCATTTGTTGATTCTGTCCTTTTTGTCGTCAATTGAGACATATTTGAATTCAAGTCTTCTTGCCACAAGCTCTTACTTGTCAATGCCTGGGCTGTAATATAGGAGTTTGTCATGGTTTAAAACCAGTCAGGCAACTCGTTCACTTACTGCCCCCCTTCTTGCCCTCCCCCTACTCCCAGAGGGACAGAGAGGAGAATCGAAAAGAATGCAACTCCCACGGGTTGAGATAAGAACAATTTAGTGACTAAGGTATGGCACAAATAACTATTGCTACCACCAATAATAATAATGATAAAGGAAATAACAAGGGAAGAGAATACAACATCTCACCACCTGCCGACTGATAACTCTTCCCCCCCCCCCCACCCCGACCAAGCACTGACTGATACCTCCTCCAACCCTGCAGTCCCTAGCCCTTCCCTGGTAACTCTCTGTTACATCCTTGTCATTGCATGCTGTGGTATGGAATACCTCTTTGGCTAGTTTGAGTCAGGTGTCCTGTCTGCTTCCTCCTGGCTTTCCCTCCTCCCTGGCAGAGCCTGAGGCTCACAAAGTCCTTGGTCAGACTAAAACATTGGTGTCATCAGCTCTGTTCCCAGGCTGGAAGTCAAAACACAGCACTGCACTAGCTACTAAGAAGGAGAAAAATGACTGCTACTGCTCAACCCAGGACAGAGTTTTTACATGGGATTGTTCATCTGCAGCTTTTTCCATGAGTAGACCCTGTATATGCCCATATATAAGTATGAATGAGACTTTTTTTTTTTTTGAGAGACATGATTTCTTCTGTTTTTTTTTTAATTAGACAGTCACATGTTTTGTGCTGGCAAGGCAACAAAGATAGCAGAAGTGCTGCACTAGAATGCAATGGAACAAGCATTAGGCCTCTTATTTTAGCTAAATTCAGAGAGGAATAAAATAGTGTTCTCTACAAAGTGCTTTTCCTGACATTATCACAGACCATTGTTACAATTAAAGTAAGTCCATGTTAATAAAATAATAATATTCTGAATTGGTATATACACTCAGTTAACAAATAGAAAGGTATTAGGTTGTAGAGAGGAGAGTCCCATAACTCTAGGTGTTGGGAGTTTATCTGATTTTTGTGTTGTTTCCATTATTTCCTTCATGTTTCTCATTTGTGAAAGAATGGGTAAAATGTAGTACAGTTTTGCCATTACAGTTTTACTCCCATCTTGGCCAGGCTTTCATTCTGGTTAAGGTTTATTTGGTGAAAGTAAATACAGATCTGTAACTTTATTTATTTTTTTTTTTAATATGTAAATGCTAAAGTCTCAATAGGAAACCTTGATACTTGGAAACTGTTTGCCAGACATCAGCTTGCCTGGGGATGAATCTGACTTTCTCCACCATGGGAGGAATAATGTTTATTTTATAAATACCTACCAAACTCATATGTAGCTCTCTTACTAATTTATTTTTTCCTAGCGAGATCTGTCCTTGCGTAGCTTGAAGGGCAGCAATTGTAAAAACTAAGATAGAAGTAAAATCAAATTTAATATTCCTTGTGTGACTCTGTGTGTGTGTTTGTGTGTGAAGAATAACCCTAGGGCTATCTGCAGTGAACATGTTAAATTTTAATTTTTAGTAGTTTAAAGGTAGCTGTCATAACTGAACTTCCATGCCCTTAATATCCTTCTGCCTTGTACGTTTTATGTCTCTGCCCTGCTTTTCTCTTTCTTTTTCTTTCACCAGTTGGGAGTAGATGTTTAGGTCAATGAGTTGTAGAGTACATATGTATGCGTAGCAGGCAAGGGAAGAATAAACAAGTGATTAATTTTCCCTGGCTAGGGATGACTTCTCTAATTCCCATTTGGGAAGATAAGACTTAATTGAAACCATTAAGTTACTCATTAATATTCTTCAAGGAGGTGGAAACTTTTGCTTTTCATGTCCATTTCACATTTCTTGGTTTTTGCCTTTGGCAGATAAGTTGAGTTTAATGTAATGTTATATCCAGAGCTGGTAACAATCCTGAAAAGATGTGTCTCTTAGGCTTTTTCTGGTACAGAAATGATGTGTGAGGACAATAGTTTGTTGACAAGTTAGCTAATTAGAAGTGTATTTGAAACAAGAATGTAAATGGATTAGGGACCTGCATTTATATATATTTTTTTTTTTTTCTAGAGACGAGAACATACCCAATTGATATTAAATGAGGCAGGGGAGGATGATCTGTTTCAAATAGAAGTGGAGTAGAAAATTGTATTCGAATTGGTTTTTGGAATTCAACAATTCTGCTACTGCATGTATTTCCGCATGCTATTGCATGTCTTTCCTTCCTTCTTTTGGTAAAGATAGAGCAAAAATTCCTATCAAGCTGGACTAATTGTTTACTTTAGCACAGGTTCCCATTAGCTAGAAAAACACACTTTTAAAAATTAAATTTCCCCTGAAAAACTGTTAGCTCAAGTGGGAAGTATTATGCACAGCTCAGAAGTTTCAAAACGATCTTACAAGATTTTTTTTTTTAAGCTTTCCTTGAAAAGGAATATTGTAGCATTATTCATATTTTAAATAGAATAATTATGAATTAGGTATAATAAAAAGTAAACTTTCTGTTTGGTAAACCAAGTGCTGTCCCTAAGCCCTGTGTTATTGATGGAGCTCTAGGAATGGGACTTAAAATTAGCTTGAAAGACCTGCCATCATCACATGTATAAATAAGTATGAACACATAAATAACAAAGCAATTTAAGTGTGGGTTTTTTTTTTTTTTTTAAATCTGTTATAACCT